AAGCGGATGGAGGAGACGCAGTATAACCATATGATCTCGAAAATAGTTGTTGCGGTCAAGTGTCTGCTTCTGCTGCATGATGTTGTGAATTATTTGGTCCTGGGACTCGCGGTATGGATATGCTTCTCGAAGGTCGACAATGCCGAGGGACAGAACTACACTATGAATCTGCTCATACAAGGTATTCTAATGTACGTATTTCGTCGCATATTCTTCTTTTTGCATTCGGAGGCCGATCGCAAAGTCATGATGCATATGCTTAACGAGATATTTTATATCACATGCACAATTGAGAAGAAATATGGCATGAATTATCACATTGAAATGTCTCTATTGTGCGTATACTCCTGCAAGATGTGTTTAATGTATATCATGTTGGACGCCTTGTGGCATAGGTTTACGTTTTGGATTATCTTTTTATATTGGATGCTGCTCGAATACTGTTTTCATGGCTACTTGATATATCAGTTGCTTCTGCTCAACTGGTATCGCAATTTAAACTACGTCCTACAGCGCTTTTTGGAGAATAACCAGAGTGAAAGTTTTATATCTGGCCGCTATCATCGTCGTCTGTTATGGCTCTTCAAACTGTATTTACGCATCAATAATTTGCATAAGTTCATACAGGAGAATATCGCCTGGTTTCCCGCTGCAATCTATCTGGGAATATTCTCGAGTATTTTCAATATGACATTGATGATTCAGTGCATCGTCTATGCAGAGGACGACATCGATGACAAATTGTATATTCTGATGGATGGCTGTCTCTGTCCGGCCGTAATACCAATTCTCAATGTACTCATTATTGGCATCTGCACAGATCGCATACGCAGCGAAGAGTTGACGATGCAGCAGCACATTGTACTCGTAAGCGTTCTGCTATTCCGTAAATCCGATCCACATGACTTTCGCTTGAAGGTGATCAACAGTGAGGTGAGTTGAGTAAATCGCTTTTAATCAGAGTAATATTTATACGACTGATTTATAGTACTTCTCGCTGATTGTAAGTCAAAAATTGGATCCATTGCTCAACACTATTATTTTGGATACCATTTGTGATCGGAGCTTCGCATTTGACTATTTCTTCACAACGATTCTAACTGCGATTTCGCTCTTACAATACAGCGTATCAACAAGTAAATCATTTAAGGAGTGCGTGATACATAACTAAAACGAGCAGGCAGGGATAAGAGCATATTCTTAGTACTAAAATAGACTTCTTGTTTAATTATTTTATATATATATAATTAGATTATATACAAATATTTATTACTTAGTTCTGTAGTATAAAATTGACAAAATTTGACTCTTTTTTGACGAGATATATTTAATTAAAATTTTTCTTTTTGCAGAAATTGTTAAGACTGTTTTGATTGCATTGATATTGAGGTTGGTTTATTGTGTAAAAATCTTAAAAAATATAAAAATGGTGTAAATTAATTATCACAATATTCTTGAATAAGAGAAGTTATGAAAATATACGAGGTACAGTACGATTAAGTAAATGCTCTAATTTAACTTTTCTAAGTTTGAGGAACGTGAGATGTGTTAAGGTATTAATATATATTTCAGTCTGAAATCTCTCATTATTTATGCCGGGATAGAGGAAAAACTTTTCTGGTATGATTATACGCCGTTTGGTTGATTATATAGTCAAATTTTTGTTCAATTTTTATGGAGCACTTGATTGTTTCGTCTATCGTACTGAAGTCTTATACATTTTGTTGTCATTCGATTGAAAAAGACAGTCAGTCAACAATATGGCAGCCGTTGACGCCGCATTGCCGCCACTGCCAACACAATCCATCACAATCACAAAGCCAACTCGACCAGACACAGGCGCATACACTCAATCACATACCAAACAGACGGCATACGCATACAAGCGGGCGGGCGGTCAGAGAGTCCGCGTGAAACTCAAATATATAGAGTCATTCAGGCAGGCAGTCGGTTGGGCTGTCATTTGGCAATAATACCGCAAACCAAAAATGCCTCAACT